CCCTACTACACCCAATTCTAGCCCATTTCCTGAGTGATTTTTAGAGTCTCAGCTCTTGAGGAGAAAATATTACTGGGATTAGCAGCCTTAAAGGCTATTGAAGATTGACCTCTGCTAGCTGAGACCTGCCTCATTTTTTTTTCTGGAGACCTAAGCTAACAAGATATACAACATTCAGCTTTCTAGAGGTTTAAATGATATAAAGATAAAATTCAGATTACTTAGACAATAAATTACATATCTTTTAGACCTAATGTGTTCTTTCAAATTAGCATTCAAATTAGCATTCAAAGTGCTTCTGAAGGAGAAATAGGACTATACTAGTGACCAGGTAGAGGAAATAAGTATCAACTGAAGTATCCCCAAAGCTCAGATGATACCAGGTCTTACCTGGATGGATGGAGAACTATCCTTAGGCAATTGCATGAGTGTCTGTTGCAAATACTGATGTACTTTCTCTTTTAGTTTTCCTTTCTTACTATTGGTAGTGCAGGTACCTAGTGCAAATCAGGATAGGGCCAGAAACATGGGATGTTTCAGCACATAAAATAATCATGTATAATTTGTATATGTGTTTATTTGCACACACAGCTACATATATAACAACACAAAAGTGTACACATACTATACATGTATTAGCACATATGAAATAAAATCTTTACCATGTACTGTGTATTTACTTTTTCTAATATTTTCATACCCTAAAGAATATTGTAACCCTTCAGACCTGTGGTTCAAAATCAAGAAAGAAAACTAAAAGAAAAAAAAAAACTCTGCTGTAAATCTTTATTAAATATAATCAATTACCATTTTGACAGGAGTGCCTCAACGAGTTCCCTGTGCACAGCCTAATGTGTGGCATGGGGCAGGCATTTACCATTTGCTAAATGTGTCTAAGTGAGTGATTGTCCATAACTCAAGATTATATTTTATGTGTTAAGGCCTAAAGAATAGGCATTCTCTTGCATTTATTAAAGTTCCACAAACCAGATACATAAAGGAAGACATTCTTCGGGTCTAGTGCCCTGTTTAATATTCTTATGCAGGTGAGGGCCCCCACCTCATTTTAAGGGACCTCTGCATAGCATAGTTCATTATACACACTGCCAGCTGGTTATCCATCATTAGGCTTCTTCAAGAGTTCTCTTTTTTAAAGATTTATTTTTCACTTTTTTCTTATGTGTATGTGTTTACATGAGTGTATGCCATGTGTAACTCCAATGCCCTTGGGGGCCAGAAGAGGACATTGGAAACTCTGGAGCTGAAGTTATAGATGATTGTGAGCTGCCTGGTAGGGATTCCAGGAACTGAACTTGGGTCATCGGAAGAGTAGCAAGCTCTTGATCCCTGACCCATCTCACCAACCCCCTGCTTTAGGGGTTTTGTTGTTCTTGTTGTTATATAACTGATAACACAGATATTTCTTCTTTACAATGGATAACTAGCTGCTCCTGTACTGCTTTCCATCCCTTCTGAATAATATCCTCAATACTGTCCCAAGAGTGGAGCCATGGTACTGCTGTTTTACTATGTTGCCCCCAAAATCTTGGATTAATTCATATGCCATCAACATGTGTTTTGTACTTGTAGCCTACTAACATTTAATTTTATTATTATATTTAATTAATTTAATAAACATTTAACATTTTTAATTATTTAATGATAGCATCTAGATCTTTTTTATTTATTTGTTTCATGTTTCTATTTTCTTTTTAGTGATTTCATGTGTTCATCCATGACAAAAGATTCCAAATTATAGCACTGTGGTTGGAAAGGTACATGCCTGCTGGCTTGTTTGCAAATAGTTGCTTCCATCTTTGAGGCATTTTCTTTGGATTAGTTTTTGTTATAGCCCAGACTAGCAATGCTTGAATAAATCTTCAGTAAAATTTTAGTGTTATGTGAACTATTGAAAACGGTTTATATTCCTTTCCTGGTTCTTTTTCATTTTTAATCCTTTTTTTCCCCTAGGCTCGAGAACTCCAAGCTCGAGTACTAAAACGTGTTCAAATGGAGCAGCCAGATGCAGTTCCTTCACAGAAACACTTAGCAGCTGAAATCTGTGCAGAGATTGCAAAACACTCTGTTGCTCAGCGAGACTATGAAAAAGCAATTAAGTTTTATAGAGAGGCTTTGGTTCATTGTGAGAAAGATAATAAGGTCAGTACGTTTATAAAATTTTAAGTACCTTTTATTCCAGATGCCATCTAGTTTCCTCAGATATAAAAGTCTTATTAGCTTATTTATAAAGAAGATTTGAAAATAAATGTAACAAAATATAGAAGTTAAAAACATTAATATTGTTTCGGGAAACTTCCAGAATGTATCTGTGGGGCCTCGAGTGTAGCTGAAGAGTACATTGCTTGCCCTGGGTTCAGTCTACAGCACTGAAAAAAAAAAAAAAAAAACCTGCAATGCCTTTCATGTTGGTCAAGTGCTTGCCACACGAGCATAAGGACTTGGAATAATCCCAGCAGTGGGGATTGCTAGTAGCCAGCCTTGGCAAAATGGCAAGCTCCAGGTTCAGTGAGATACTCTGTCTCAAACGTACAGCAGAGTGGATGGGCAGTACACCTGATGTTGCCCTCAGTACACCAACACATGTGCACATGCTTACAAGTGCATACATGAGTATATACAAAAAATTATAAGAGAATAAATAAGCCACATCTGCAAGTTCATTGTTTTTAATGTCCATCTATATCTTAATAATCACTCTAAAACAATTTTTTAGCCACAAATACCTAGATGAATGTGGTTCAATTTAGTGTGGTAGACAACTATTGCACGCTTCAGTATCTGTATTGCAACTGCTTCTTGATGCCCAGGCTAGAGAGTGATGGGGGTGACTCTGTGTTGTCCCTGGTGAAAGTAGCCTTCGCTAAGGTAGAGACAAACACGTGTGTTTTCAGTAGTGGCTGAATTTAGTAGTTCTAACCCTAAAGTGTAGCTTGGCGACTCTTACCTGATTGAACCTTCTGTATTTACTAACGAGAGAGGGAGTTTAAAGAGATAAGAAGAGACTTGCTTTAGGCCTGTGGTAGTGAAGTTTGTACTGAAATTTAATACCCTGTTCTTAAAATCAGCAATATCTTTTCTCTGTCTCAAGTGAGTTATTCCCTGCCTTTCTACTTTTTCTGGTAGAGAAAAACAATAGAGATGGGTGTGCCTGCAGTATACCATGTCTGGTGCAGCATTTCTATCATGACAACTCTTTCAAACAACTGAAGTGTAATCTTACCTAAACATTTACTTGCTCACTTTTTATTCTGAAACCAGTTTCTTAAGGCTTCTTGACTTTGCTTTGTAGATAATGTTGGAACTGGCACAGTTATACCTGGCCCAAGATGACATCGAAGCCTCCCTGCAGCACTGTGCACTGCTCCTGCAGAATGACCAGGATAATGAACCTGCCACCTTGGTCAGTCTGAGATTTCTGTGCTGCCCAAGCAATTGAGTTTATATGCTATGAGCAAGTTTCAAATTTTACTCTGTAGAACAGATACTAGATGATGAGGCTTGGCTGTTTTTGGCTTGTAGAAGAAATAACATATTTCTAAACTGACCACATTTACTAATGTGACCAGAGACCATTAGCCTTGTAGTTACAAGATTAGCAACAAAACTCAGATTCTACTTTACTCTCCCTTTGAGGTTACTTAATTTTTCTTTCTGCCTAAGGGATGCTTGTTGCATGGGTGAGTTCTGTGGTCAAGAGTCACTGCTGCTGTTTAAACACTGGCTTTGAAGTACTTTACACAGATATGGTAGAGTAATTTAAGATTTCAATAGAACTTCCGGGGTTACAGGAAAAAATGCTTGACGTATCACTCCAGGATGGCTTGTTTTAAGTGAAACTTTGCTTTCAGGGTTTTTTTTTCTTTTATTTCTACCTGGGTTGAAGAATTTTTCAACATTCAGACAGTTTGTGTGGATGACATTGTGTAAAGCTCATTCAAAGTTATTATTATAACTGAAAAGAATATGTCATCTCCCTTTAAAATACAGAAAATCTCAAAGGTCTCCCATATTTTATTTATCTTGAAACATGCCTGACTTAGGTTTTGTTTTCAGTCTTCAGTCATGATAGTCTAGGGAGGCATTCTTTCTGCAGTAGTACTATAAGATGTAAAATTCCCTTTGTTTTTTAAAGATTTGTTCTTATTTACTTTCTTATTATATACTTTTATGTGTTTTGTTTTTATTTTATTATATATTTTATATACTTTTAGTTATATGTATGTGTTTGTCCCTGAGTATGTGCACAAGTGCAGTTCCTGTGCAAGTCAGGGATGTCAGATCCCGCTGGAGCTTGTGTTATAGGTGGTTGTGAGTCACTTGACTTGGGTACTAGGAATTGAACTCAGGTCCTCAGCAAAAGGAATCTGCGTTCTTAACTGCTGAGCCATCTCTGCAGTCCCTCAAACTTGTTTTTTCTACCAATACTTGGAACATATTTTTTTAACTAGAAATAAAATTTTGTGAACAGGGCAATCTGTTATGCATTGTTGATTAGTTTTCATAAATATCTCTTTTGTTTTTCGTAGGTATTTTCATAGCACTAAATGTTGATTTAAAGAATATACTTTGTAAAAATACATGGTACTGTTTTTAGAACCACCTTATCTTTGCAGATGATGGCTGACCTCATGTTCAGAAAACAGGACTATGAGCAAGCAGTGTTCCATTTACAGCAGCTTTTGGAACGCAAGCCAGGTAAATGCCCCTCACTGCTTCTCACATAGTCACCTCCTTGCCTCTTTGGGTTTCTGTTTGTTTTGCTTTTTAGCTGGTTAAGTCTTGGGGGAAGAGCAGTTGATTGAATGTGACTCTGCTTATCCCACACATGGGTCTAAGTAGCTGAAGTAGCCCTGAGGAAGATGCCCCACTGTCTACTGTTGTCACTGTAAATTGTAAGCAGAGCCTGTGCTGGACTTCCTTGCAATTCCCCCCAATGAACTCACCCATTCCAACTGCTTTTTACATTTTCTTTGTCTCCTCAAACCTCCAGCACCCTTACCACCTTTCTTCCGTTCACCTAAAACTTTGCCACCTCTTGATTGAAAAAATATAAACAATTAGAAGAGAATTCCTTTCCTGGACACACACACACACACACACACACACACACACACACAGGGGTGTGTACACACCCCTATGTCCATCCTATTCTGATTCCATTTCCCTATGTATACTGGACACAGCCCTCACCTACCTAAGGGCTTGACTCCTGTGATTACCTCTGTCTGCTGCATTCCCACTTTCCCCCAGAGGACGTGGAGCCTTGCTGTGACAGCTCCCAGATGTGCCCCACATTCTCCTTCATCACTGCCCAGGTGTCCATCATGGCTTTCCTGCCATTTTTCCTCCTCATTCCAGACTCTGGGGGCTTTTTTGTTGTTTTGTTTTTTTTTTCAAAGTCACATGGTTTATTGGGGGTTGGGCCCAGTGGTGGGGAGCTATGTGTCACAGTCCTCAGGGACAGCAGCTGTGATGATGAGGACTCCAGGACAGACTCTGTTGTTATTCCATCTCAAGCTGTTCCCATTTCACAACATTGCTGTAAGAGAATGATCTAAATTTTATTTCTTTAAAATATTTTAAGCAATATTGCCCTCACACATTATGTGTTTTTTTTTTTTTTTGCAAGGTTGAGAGAAGCCCTCCTGTGTCATGCGGGTTTTCTCTCCCTGAGGCTTCCATAACATGGTACCAACATTTCCTCCAAATAGGTGATAGTTAAATAGATTTAGTAGACTGGCTGCTTTGGAGTGTTTATAAACAAATGTGATTTTTCTTTTTTTATCAATGTATATTAATTATATGAAGGATTTATTTATGGCATTTTCATATATACATATATATATAGTATATTTTAATCCTAGTCACCCCCATTAATCTACTGTCCCACTTGCCATCCCTTGAATCCTTTTCCTCTCTCAAATAGTCCCCCTTCTATTTTCATGGGTATTTAAAATGTGTTTCTATATTCCCATACGTGGGATATGAGATACCTCCCCAGCCCCTTTCATGTCCTTTTTAAATTCTGTCCTTTATAATTTCTATGTAAAGACATTTTGCCCCCTCAATACCAAATGGCATGAAACCACACCCCCAAGGCTTTGTGTGGATTTTCTTTCTTTTTGTTTATAATACATTTTGCCTTCCTTCTTTCTCTGTGTCTTTCTCACTACCTAACCTAAAATATATCACTCTTGGAGGGGGTAGGGAAAACCTACATTAGATAATGACTTATGCGTTGCCTGTAGGATAACCTTTTATCCTGCTTTGCCCAGGACCACAGTGTCTCCTGGATGTAGGACTTGCCATACTAAAGGAAATTCCAAGTCAAAGTAACATGAACAGATGACCGCAATCCAGATCATATTATCAATGTCACTTTATTACTTACAATATTTTCCTAAAATATCTATATGAATATATATTATTCAAGGTTGAATTAATACAGTTATACAATATTGAACTCAGTATAAGCCCTGTAAGACATAAAATTGAATGAGTTTTTAATCTTTAAAAAAGATCTGCATTTCAAGATATGCTGTTTCCTACATTTTTTAATATTTTTTTTTAGGAAAGCAAAGATACACCTCTTTCAAAAGTGGCTATAAAAGTTTTAGGTTCACTCTTGAATTAATACAGTTATACAATATTGAACTCAGGATAAGCCATGTAAGACATAAAGTCGAATGAGTTTTTAACCTTTAAAAAAGATCTCCATTTCATTTGAAAATATACTGTTTCTTACAGAAAAACTCATTTTTTTGCTAATAACACTGAGATATTGGCACATGCTTCTGTAATCTGTATGTATCTGATTATTACTAGTCATAATCGCTTGCACTCAAATCCTTGGCACCTGCGTACGTCTATAAAGTCATCAGGTAGATTTCAATGGTAATGTTTATCACGTCTACTAATTAACATGATGTAAACTTATGCTTCCTCAAATATAATTCATTTTTTTAAATTTGTTGTTTGTGTGTGTGTGTGTGTGTGTGTGTGTGTGTGTGTGTGTATCACACATAACATCCCAAACCATCTTATTCAACTATATACCCACTTCCCAGATGGTACCCTCCCATAACCTGCCTCCCCTCACTACAGCCCTTATACTCTGATATCCCTGCTACTATCTGCTGGGTTGTCGGCACCCCCAACCATTCCCCACTGCTTGTCCATCAGGTGAATCTAGTCAGCCTATCTAGGGGTCTTTGTTTTAGGAAGGTCAGCTGTTCCTCATCTAGCAGCAATCAGTTGTCAATATTTCCTTTAGATAAGATTGGGGTCTGCTGTTCATTTTCCCAGTTCTATGCTGGGTTACTATCTGGGAATCCCTTGGACACCCTGGCCAACAACTCAAAAGAAGGTATCGCTTGTCTGGCATTGGTGCTTGTTATGTAGCCTTTAGCTATGCATATGGACTCTTATGAAATTATATTGGCCCTTTTAATCTTTGGTTATACTTCTGCCTATGTGAAGATAAGTCAAAGGTCCTGCTCGACTGTGGCTGGCTTCACTTGGAAGCATGGAGGAAATGATTCCTCTGTTTTGAACCCTCCTCTTTGTAGACTGGACACTAGTTCAAGTCCATCTCATGGGGTCTCCTCAGCTTACTTGATCAAGAGGACAGGTGACTCACCACAGTTACAGGACATTTTGAGAGATGCTCATAGTCCCCTGGAACTAGTTGACCTAGGAGGACAAGGAGCAGAAACTGTCCTTTATGCCCCTCTGACCAAATTAGTATAGGCCCCAAAGTATGTCTGTTAGACATCCAAGAAGGTTAGTTCCACCAGTCTGATATTTTTAATTACTGTGTGCCATGCAGATAAATTTTGGGCAAAGACCAATTGTTCTCAGATAAACTTTGCCTAGACATATATTTCTTGATCTGCTATGTATAATTTGTCAGTATGTTGTAGGAGTAATACGGTTCCCGCTGGTTCTCAAAACTAGCTAGGCATTGTTTATCTCTCAAATTGTCTCACCCCTCCATCATGGTTTTCCCACTTAAGGTGCCCGTGCACCCATTTTTCCCCTTTCTCCATTAATAATACCCTTCTCCTATGGCCCTACCTCTCTTGAGCTCCTTCTTTCCCTTTATCCACTAGGTTCCTTGTATACCCTTCCCTCCCCCCTCCCTTAAACTAACTCAATTTTTATTCACATCCCCCTTATTAAGGCCTGTTTCCTACTGTTCTTCTCTTTCATGTTCTTTCTTTGAAGGAGATGACGTGCAAGTGGAGAGAAAGGAAGTCCCTTTCCCAGGACAAGAGCAACTCCTAGTCCTGTAGTTATGTCTAGTTGCATACTTATTTATCAGAGTCTCATTCTAGGTTCCACATATGAGGGAGTAACAAATGTCGATTTTTTTTCTGAGTCTGTGTTACTTCACTTAATATAACAGTAGTCTCTGTTACTTCACTTAACAGTTTCTAGTTCCATCCGTTTACCTGCAAATTTCATGATTTCATCTTTCTTTACTGCTGAGTAAAACTCCATCGTATAAATGAACCACATTTTCATTATGCACTAGAGAGTTGAGGGACACTTAGGTTGCTTCCATCTCTTAGCTATTGTGAAACAAGAAGCAAAAAACACGGATGTACAAGTGTCTCTGCAATAGGATGAGCTCTTTGGGTACATGCCAAGGAGTAGTATAACTGGATCAAATGGTAGGTTCATTTGTAGTTTTTTAAGAGTTCTCCACACTGCTTTCCATAGGGCTTGAACAAGTTTACAGCCCCACCAGAAGTGATGAGTGTTCCCCTTTCCCCACATCCTCTAAAACATTTGGTATCATTTGTTCTCTTGATCTTAGCCTGTCTGATTGGGGTAAGATTAAATCTTAAACTGGTTTTAATTTGAATTTCCCTTATTACTAGTGATGTTGAACATCTTTTAAGATGCTTCTTAGCCATCTTTACTTTTTCTTTTTAGAACTCTCTGTTCAGCTCCTTAGTCCATCTTTTAATTGGGTTACTTCTGTCTTGATTCTCTGTTTTTTGAGTGTGTTATATATTCTGGATGTTAAACCTGTCAGATGTGTCGCTGATGAAGATTTTCTCCCCTTCTGTGAGTTTTCTCGTCACTTCCATGGTTGCCTCCTTTGATGTACAGAAGCTTTTTAGTTTAATGAGATCCCATTTACTGGTTCTTGACCTTGTTTCCTGAGTGATTGATGTCCGGTTTAGAAAATCCTTTCCTACACCTATATCTTTTAGGTTTTTGCCAATGTTTTCTTCTAACAGTTTCAGAGTTTCAGGCTTTACATTGAGGCCTTTGATCCATTTGGAATTGACTTTTGTGCAAGGTGAAGATAGGGGTTTAGTTTCATTCTTGTACAGGTGGAGATCTGGTTTTGCCACCACCATTTGCTGAACATTCTGTCTTCCCTCCAGTGAATGTCCCTGGCCCCTTTGTCAAATATCAGGTGGCTGAAATTGCATGTATTCATATTTGGGTTTTCAATTTTGTTCCATTGATCTATGTGTCTATTTTTGTGCCAGTACCATGTTGTTTTTATGACTATAGCTCTGTAATACAGCTTAAATCTGGTATAGTAATCCCCTCCGGCAGTGCTGTTGGTGCTCAGGGTTGCTTTGGCTATCCGAGGTCTTTTGTGCTTCCATATG